AGACTAAGGTATGCTGGCATTAATATTTTGCTTTGTTAAAAACTAATCATGTTATGATAGGTCTTTACAAACAGACCTTCCCACACTGTTCATTTACTGACAGGGTGGAACAAGAACTTTAACATGTAAAACAAGGAATTACCAGCGCTTTCAAGTTCAGACACATCTGCCTAATGAGTAGAAATTTTAAGAATGGGAAATCCTTAGTATGAGAGAGCAGCTATAATGAGAATGAATCATGCAAATATAAATTAATCTAGACTGTATTTAAGAATTTAAGGTTATTTTAATCAAGATCATTGGAGCAAGGAAAGCTAAATTCTATATGCCTAAACCATGTGAGTAGTTTGTGAGCAAAGCTTCCAGTGTAAGTAATTTTAAACCAAATAATTTTTACTGCAATCAAAGACTCTAAACTAATAACTCCAAGTTAGCCAAGACTGTGGGGCAGACTATTAAAAGGAACATTTGTCACTTACTTCAGTGGAAGCAATCTCACCTATTGTATACAGTTAGGACAAAGTGCTTGATGGTGTTCTAACAGTATTTATTATTTGAAGAGATGTTGCAAGCAAGAAACTGAAAGATGGAGCCCTATTCAACAGGGACGATCATTCTGCAACATCAACATGTCCACAAGAGCCACACCTCCAGAATAATAACGCAGAGTGGAATAATGCAGAGTGTAACATACAGTGGCTACCGAACTGAGCTACAAATGAGGTAATTAACTCAAATCTCACTTTTGCCAAAACAATTGCAAGCTCAGGTTAGGAAAGTGACTTATTCTCAACTTCAGCAAGCCTCACCTAGTTGAACAGAAATATTGTGAAGAACTCTGAACACTCCAAAGCAACCAAGTACCAGCTTTAGCGAAGACAAAAGGTTTTATCGGGATATGCAAAATCATCCATTAAATGAGCATCCAGAATATAATTAAATGGCTTGTTCCTGACAAAGACCCATATATTAAACTTTCCTGTGATTGTTTCTTTCACACTTGAAAGTCCTGCTCCTACTTTTACCACTTGCCTGTTGCTGCCTATTACACCACTAGCATCCTCACCAAATGGCATGCCCCGCACCGAAGTCTCCAAGAACCGCGGCAGCAAGCTGAAACTATCTTCATTTTGCTGTACTAACACCATGTCCCTACACAGTAGGACGATTATTCACTCACATTCCTTTACATGGCAAAGGCCTGCTCATTCCTTGGAGCGGCAAAAACATGTTCGTGAGTGTGCCCGGCTACTATTACATCCAAACACACCATGCCACTGCTTTTTCCTCAATAACTTCTAAAAGTATAGAATTAGAAATTGACAGAAACAAACATTTCCACAAAGAATACCTAGCGATCCTGTGAAAAACATTGCGTGGAAAACTTTCTGCCTTGTCCAAGGCCACTCAGTGAGCTTCATTGCCAAGTAGTAAGATGAACCTTGGCTTCGCCTATCTAAATTCACACATTGTAGTATATGGGCTTGGTACAGAAAAACAGTCAATAGATTTCTCTGGAACAAAGCAAGCCTGAGTGCTTATTACCAAAATATTACACATTATTTGGATTTCCACTGGAGAACTTAGAAAAATCAAAGCCACATTTGAAATAACTAGAATTCTGATCACAAATTACAATTATTTAAGGAGCTAGTGATTCAAATGCACAATGTACTTTTGGCAGTCAAAACATCAAACTTTATAATACACTTTGAATGAAGGCACTTTCAAATAAGAATTTCTCTATGCCTTCTACATTTTTTGTAATCTATATTCGTCTTCCCACTGTGGACCAGAACAAACATAATGTAATAATAAATAAAGCAGAACAGAATTCAAAGCTAATTTATGGCTGTCAACTGAGGTGATACTAAGAAAAGAGTTCAATATCAAGTGGATACACAATTAAGCTGACACTGGCATGCATATCTTGTATCTGCCAGACATACAATCTGGCTTCGGACGAGCCATTCTCAGTCTCCGAGCAACTGTAGGTAAGTGCTTAGAAATATTAAAACAAAAAAGCAGCAGCAACAGCAAAACACAACATAACTTCAGATGGCCCAAACTTATTTTTAAATTGCCATTTTACTATAGTTTTCAATGCAGTATTCTATTACGCTTTCCAAATACATAAAGCCAAGAATTAGATCCTATCAATGAAGTAACAAGGCAAGTATGATCCAGTCCAGATAGAAATGGCAAGCCAACTTTCCATAGCAGGATTCCAATTTTGGTATAGATTATCAGCTTGCATCTCACTTTTAAATTTACATGCACTTTAAAAATATTTAAGTTTTATTTGCTAAACTAGGTAGCCACACACAAATTCAATGTAACAGCACCATGGTTTTGCTAGAGATTTGTGCAGCTATTTGCAATTTTTCCTATCAGAGGGGGGAAAACCCAGTATTTTAGATTTATCACCAAACAAGTATTTCCTAGGAAATTACTTGCAGGCAGTCCTTTAAAACCCATGAACTTTTTCCATAGGTATCAGACCTGCAGGACTAATGCAAATCAGTTTCCATTCTTATCCTCAAATCAAGCCTAAAGATACAATACTGGACAGGTTAGAGTAGTATTTTGAATAACGATTTTCTCTCTTGTCAAGAGATAACCTTGCTTGAGTCTGTAGGGTCAACTTGATTACCACAGCAGAAAGATACTTTCCCACATGTCAAACTGCTGGGTACTGAGAGGTGTGGGTCACCTTCATCTACTGGCTGTGACTTAGCTGCTTTATGCAAGTCATGTAACTTCATTTTGTGAAAACAATTCCCTTGTCTTCCAGGCTTCTCTAGCATCGTCTGTCCTGATCCTCCTGCCCAGCCTGATAGTAGCCACTACGGTCATAAAATTTTGAGGACAATTCTTAATACATGGGAGATGTCAACTCTAGATTCCCTTTACATGCAAGTTCCATGACCAAATAGGATCTTATCTGCAATGCTTTTTACTCTCATCTTTACTGAAAGCTCAGGATATATTAAAATATTACTCTGAAAAGGTACAGCTCAATATCAGCAATCTCCTTCTTCCACATTTCATCTTAAGGCTCAACACAGACAGCATGAAGCCACTCCCCCCCCCCCCCCCCCCCATTCTAATGCCACCCTCTATACTGGCATTAGCTCAAAGCAACTTCTTTGCAAAAGCCCCAGGTTCACTACTTGGTGTCTCAAGGAGACCCAGACAGCCAGTATGTGTCCACAGTAACTGACTAAAGAGACCAGTGGACTGCATTATTGCAAGGTGCCAACCATACGACTAACCTGCTTTTTGTAGCATCTTGGTTGATATAGAGATATCAAAAGCTTGCGTGTTTGTGGCCTTTTCAATTGGCCAGATAGAGGTGTTGCCCTGATATAACTCCAATCAAATGGCCTGTGCAAGGCCAGACCTAATGCAATTATTGTCCTGATATAGATCAATGAAAAGGTGCATAAGAATGTGGGGTTAGACTAAGAAATTAAAAACTCTTCATTGCGTCAATTTATTTATGGGATTTTTAGCCTGTCCCATTCACCACATGGCTAATGGAAATGTTACAGGAATTTATAAATACAGTATCCAGCCGAATCCTCTAACAGGACAGCTAGCAACTTACAACAGTAAACAAGAAAATAGCAATGAATGAATGAATGAATGAAGGGTTGAATGAATGCAAGCAGTCCCTGATACTGTTTAGTTCAACAAATGCTTCAAGGTTAGAGCAATTAATCCTCAGCATATCTGCCCTTACCCTATCCTCTCCCAATTAGATAATTATCTATAACTTGTTTATCAACCTTTTACACATAAGTTTTTACTCTGATTATTGACCAAAGTTCACTTCTTTCTTTCTGGCTTAATTCACCGACCCTATTAGAAGGGGAAAAAAGGAGTTTTGCATCTGCTTTCCCCATTTCAATAAACACTGAAACTGCAAGCATATGATCTTGGGGATAGAGTCTCATAAATGAGCAGTGCAAACCATTGCATAGTAAACTTGTGCAGGGATCAAGCTATCAAGATGCAGCAATCCCCCCACACACACACACACACTTACTTGGGGGTAAAGCTCTATGACTGAACCCACAAAGCCTTACTCCCAAGTAAAACAAGGACCAGGCTGTAGAGCTGCAAGAGCCTTATGCACACGTATTCCTGAGAATTAAGAAACCATACTGCCAAATTCTGCAAAACATCTCCAGAATAAACCCACTGCAAAGAAAGAAAACTGCATCACTGAACCCAGAGAGAAGTTAATATCAATTAAAAATACCCAGGAGCAAGCCACAGCAGTGCTACGGGAGCACAATTACTTGGGAGTAAAAGTCCACTGATTTAACTCTAGCTGGCTTTCCTCCTCTATGAACCTCGGAAATCCAGTTGCGACACAGCCCCCGCTCCTCTAACAGACGCTTCAACCCGAAGGAAAAACCGAATCAATGGAAGGCCCCGGGCTCCCGACTCGCTCAGAGATTCAAGGCAGCGCGGCGACCCCCGGGCAGAATGTGCTTTAACCTGGAGGCTTCAGAGAGGGAACGCGAAGGAAACCCGCGGGCAGTCGGCGCCAGCGCTGCTCAGGCTCGCCCTCCGACTGTGCCCAACGGGGACTGCCCCCTGCCTCCGCCCCACACAGCCTTGCTCGCGAGAAAGCCGGGCCACGGGGGGACGGGCCTTTCCCGCCAGCCGAGCGCCCGTCGCGCGGACCCCCCGTCCGATCACACCCAGGTGCCACGGGGGGCGGCCTCGCCCCCGATCGCCGCCTCTGCGGGGCCCCCCGCGGCCTAGCGAAGGGAGGCCGCGCCGCCCCACGCGCGCGCCGCCGTGAGGCTGCAGAAGTCGGCCCGGCGGGCCTGGCTGCAGGCAGCGGCTTCGCGCCGCACGGAGGGGAGGGAGGGAGGGAAGGCCGGCCGGGCCGGGCCGGGCCGGGCCGAGAGGGGACGCGGAGCCCCTCGCGGAGAGTGGCGGGAGAGGGAGAGCCCGCGAGGTCGCCGGGCTGGGCGTCTTACCTGCGCGCCGTGGACCGCCATGGCGGCCCCGATCCCCCGGCTCGGGGGAGCGGGAGGGCGGAGGGGGGCGGCGGCGAGGGCGGGCTCGGCGGCGGCCTCGGCGCTTCACGCTGCTGGCCCCGTCGCCGCCATCTTCTCTCTTCGCGGCACACACCACACGGAGGGAGGGAAGGAGGGAAGGCCGCGCGAGGCGGGGCGGGCCGGGCCACTGCGGCTGCGCGGAAGCGCGCGTGCGCGCGCGCCGGCCCGCCTCGCGCCGGCCGCCAG